TACAAACAGGCCTGCAGGGGGTCAGAGACCAAATAGAGGAGGAGAAGACTGGTATTTTCTGGAGCCAACAGGCTTTGCTTTGCTTATGCTGTGGAGATGGGTATAAATGCAGCCACCCAGAGCTCCCAAGATTTGCGCAAGTCTTTCTAAGATGAAGCTGCCAGGCCAAAAGGATTTTGAAGGCTCTGATGCTCATGAAAATGTTTGCTCAGAGGAACTGGACACTGGCCTAGGCCCTGGCCCTGATGGACCCTCAGTCACAGACATTGGGGAATCTCCAGTATCCAAGGACCCTTTGCTCTTCATTCAACTAAATGAGCTGCTGGGCTGGCCCCAGGCACTGGAGTGGCGAGAGACAGGCAGGTGAGTGGGTCTTGGTTAGGTCTATAGCGTCCTTTCTACCTCGAATTAGGATTTCTTTGTGTTCTTGCCATGAGACTCAGCTTCTTCTACAATATGGTTCTGAGTTCTCTGAGACCTAATGAGGTGTGACTGCTCAGAGAGGGAGATCCTCTGCACCACTGGGTCAAAGGCAGCCACACTGACCTACCTATGTCCTTGACATGGGCAAGAGTCTCCCAATAACACTGTCTATCCCTTCATCACAGGTGGCTTCTGTTCGAGGAAAAGCTAGACATAGGCGCGGGCCGGTGGAGTGGCCCCCATGTGCCTATCCTGACACTACCCAGCCTCCAGAAGCTTCGAAGTCTATTGGCTGAGGGCATTGTATTGCTAGACTGTCAAGCTCAGAGCCTCCTGGAGCTTGTGGGTAGGCTGAGAAAAACATTCCATTTCCTGGGAATTTCCCCCCAAATCTTAGAGTCTTCTAGAGCCTATCCCATCCCATCCTACTCCAGGGAGCGCCCATTTCTGTCTGAGGGATAGTGATGGTAAGGCAGCTGGGTGCCGTGGCACATGTCTGTAATCTCAGCACATGGCAGGCGGAGACAGGAGGACCACTGAAAATTGGGGAGCTTCATTTATGTAGTGAGACCTTGTCTGAAAACAACAGTGTGTGTGTGGTGGGGGTTGGGGGTCACTGACCCTTGTATTTCTGAGACTGGTAGAAGGAAAGACAGACTCATGGAATTAGAAGCAGGGAAAGGAGCCAGTGGGAGGACAGAGTGTGTTCAGGAGTGGGATTGAACTTTGAACTTCACATCTGTTCTCCAGAGCAGGTAGTCAGTGGGGAGTCACTGAGCCCAGAACTGAGAGGACAGCTTCAGGCCTTGCTCCTGCAGAGACCTCAGCACCACATCCAGACCACAGGTATCAAGTCCTGCAGAGGTAAGGGATCTCTCTTTGGGCCTAGGATCAAGATTCTGGGATAGGAGGGTCCCAGAAATCTTCTACATTTTCTTGAGCCAGGAATAGCCTAGTTTTGGCTCAGTCCTCAGGACAAGAGAAAACTGGTGGTTATGGTGAGGGCAGAGGAAACCGAGTGCCAAGGACATAACAGCCAGGGCTCTCCGAAGGGGTGTACCTGGCAGGCACTGTGCCAGGAGACCTATATGCAGTATCTTCTCATCCATTCTTGTTTCCACGGAGGGCTGTATCACAACTATCCCCTTGTTAGAAAGCACTGGTGGGCCTGCCCCTAAAGCCTGTGCTCTTGACCACTGTGTAGTCCTGTTTTTGCAGGGTCTAACACTTTCAGAAAGGCTTCCTGTGATGAGGACACCCCACTGAAGGTTTGTGGCCCTTCCTTGGGAAAGGCTGGGAGGAAGATCAGAAATTAACAGACACCTATCCTCCACCAGACTCCTTGGTTGTTGATTTTCTGCCAATGTCCCCCTCCCTAAATAACCTCTCATACTCTGCCATCCAGCACCAGAACCCCTTGAGACAGAAGCTGCCTCCTGGAGCTGAGGCAGCAGCGGTGTTGGCAGGAGAGCTGGGCTTCCTGGAACAGCCACTAGGGGCCTTCATAAGACTGCAGAATCCAGTGGTGCTGGAGCCTCTTACGGAGGTGATCTTGCCCAGCAGGTGAGGTGACTGAGTGGCTCTGGGGCCCAGAAGAAGGGCTTCTACTGAGAAGGATGGGGTCTTTGAATATGGTTCCCCAAGATGTCTAGGAAATGCTCCTTCCCAGAGGTCAGTCTGCAGAGCTGGTGTGTCCTTGAGCAGAGCTAAGTGTCAGTCAGAGGCTATTCTCAGCAGCAGGCAGCGCTGTTGTATGAGAGAAAGCATCGTGGAGCTCCCCTGTCTCCCCAATTCCTTCTTCAGGTTTTTCTGCCTCCTCTTGGGTCCTCCCACCTTGGGAAGGAGCTACCATGAGATGGGACGGGCAGCAGCTGTCCTCCTCAGTGACCCGGTGAGTGGGGCAGGTTTTCCTCTGTGTGTATGTGTGTGTGTGTGGAGCATGTGTATGTGATCAGGAATAACAATGAGTTAGAGTGTGGCTTTGTTTCTGTAACATGGAGGCTGAAGTTTCCAGCTTCCAATGTAGCTGCATTACTGGCCCAAGGTAGACACACATAGGCATGGATGGATGGGTGGACTTGTGAGTACATCATGAATTTGTCTGCTTGTAGCCTGTGTGAGCATGGCTTTGAGAAAATACAAGTGAACACACATGTAAGAGTCCCTAATATGCATTTACTGTCTGTTCTGTGGCCTTAAATGCAGCAATTCCAGTGGTCAGTTCGTCGGGCGAGCAATCTTCATGACCTTCTGGCAGCCTTGGATGCCTTCCTACAGGAGGTGACAGCTCTACCTCCAGGTCGGTGGGACTGGACAGCCAGGATTCCCCCGCCCAAATGCCTACCCTCTCAGCACAAAAGGTACCTGGAGTCATGACTCCACGCTGATCTCCTCCTTGGTTATGGGTCTACCACGCTCCCCAGCTAAGCTTGGCATTCACAGGGCGGTATCTAACTTCTTATCAGACAGTTTGAAGGCGTCCTCTGCCTCCACCTCCGTAGCCTCCAGGGGTCTCGGTGTCACATACTCTAAAGTCAAATCTCAGGTTGGCTGGAGACATCAGCCCATCTGAGGTTCTCATTCTGCCCAGACTTCCCTCGAAACTGCAGGAGGTCACCAGCCTTCCCCGCCAGAGTGCTGCCCTGGCAGAAGACAAGCACTACCATGGGCCACACACACCAATCCCAGAATTGCAAAGGACGGGCAGGTGAGAGGGAACAAGGGTTGGGATCCTGTGGAAGAGTCACAGGGGCATCAAAATGTGAAGGCAATGTGGGAGGATACAGTGAAAATCAGGATGCAGGCGTGGGGTGTGGAAACCTGGATCACTGACGACCCACGGGTGGGAGGCTCTTTGGGGGTCTTATTCAGGACGTGCGCCGGAAGGCATGTTGGTACCCCAGTGATTTCCTGGATGCCCTACACCCCCAGTGTTTCTCAGCTGTGTTCTACATTTACCTGGCCACAGTCACAAACGCCATCACTTTTGGGGGTCTTCTGGGAGATGCCACTGAAGGTGCCCAGGTATGTGTGTTTGTCTGATGGGATTGGCATAAACTTTGGTGTCCCACTTGCCTGACCTCTTGGCACTGTGAGTGGGGGTGAGACTCCACAGAAGCTTGGGCTCCTATGTTGGGATGCCAGGATCCTATGATGAGGTCTGCCTACTTCCAGGGAGTGCTGGAGAGTTTCCTGGGCACAGCAGTGGCTGGAGCTGTTTTCTGCCTGATGGCGGGCCAGCCCCTTACTATCCTTAGCAGCACAGGGCCAGTGCTGGTATTTGAGCGGCTACTCTTTTCTTTCAGCAGGTAGGAGACCTCTCTTACCTCCCCAGCCCGTTAGTGGACCCATCTTCTGTTGGTCCTAACTGGGTGAAGAGAGAGGGAGGGACTGTCTCTGGCTTGAGGGACTTGACCTGGGTTAGGTAAGAAGGAGACAGCCCTGACTGTCTCTCACTCTCACAGAGATTACGGCCTGGACTACCTGCCCTTCCGACTGTGGGTTGGCATCTGGGTGGCCACATTTTGCCTGGTACTGGTGGCTACAGAGGCCAGCTTGCTGGTGCGCTACTTCACCAGATTCACAGAGGAAGGATTCTGTGCCCTCATCAGCCTCATCTTCATTTATGATGCTGTGGGGAAGATGCTGAACTTGATCCGTGCCTATCCAATCCAAAGGCCAGGATCTCCTGCCTATGGTTGCTTCTGTCAATACCCAGGCACTGGAGGTAGGTGAGGGAAACTGGTACCTTGGCCAGGTGAGGAAAGATGTAGGAAATGGACTAAGTTCAGAAAAATGCTGAGTACTTATCCAATAGTCAGCAGACCTACTTCTGGTTCTGGATCAGCTATAAAATAGATTTTGGGAGAGCCCAGGATTGTCTTTATTTCTGACATCCCTGACGGGAGAGTGTGGGTTAATGGGCTTCTTAAGAGAGAAGGCAAAATCAGGTGTACCCAACTGAGAATGGTAGCACTGGACTGGGGGACTTTGTTACATCAGAAGAGCAGACCTAAGTACACGAACCAGGCAGCTTACTTTAGAGAAACAAGAGAGGAAAGGGCAGGACCAGGCAGGAATCACTTCATTTCCTAAATTCAGCAATCAAGCAACTCACAGCTGAGAGAGAGCAGTTAGCCATGTGGAAAGGTTTGGATCGTGACGCCTGTGTAGATCCCTCCACAGGGAAGGGGCACCGAGATGGGAGAAAGTGTCTTCTGCGGGGATGTGGTGGTCCTGGGTACTAATATGGTCTCCAACTCAATATGTAACTGAAGATGACCTTGAAACTCCCAACCCTCCTGCCTCTATCTCCAACTGCTGGGGATATAAGTGGGAGCCACCAAGTATCTAGCTAAAAACATATCTTTCCTGATGTGTGCCCGATTCTACTAGTCCTGAATGAGACCAGTTCTTCCTCTAGGACATACATTTGTGAGCTCACGCATTAGGTCGATGTTTGATGCTCAGTTTTGTGTTCCGCACCAGAGACACAGATACGTAGAGAAACTGAGGGCATGAAGACACAGAGTAGGAACCCGAGAACACACTGAAGTGTGACAGAATCAGAAGCCTGATTGGAATTAAGACCTTTTTAGTTTAGGTAGAACAAGTTAGACAGACTCCTGTGGGGAAGAGTTTTTCAAGGAAGGAGGGCTTACACCTGAATTCTCTGCTTCCCAGGAAACAGGTCTGAATGGACAAGTACAAAGCTCAAAGACACAGAGGATGTCTTAAGCGTGGTGAGAGCTTAAAAAGGTCTGAGAAAGAACAGAGGGAGTGGTCTTCAGCTCTCCCCACCCTCAGAAGAAAGCTTCACTGGTTTCTTCCATTTAGCCTATGGCCCATCCTGAGTCCCTGATGTCTCTGTGGGTTCCCCTTCCTTTGAGGTGGGTCCGAGAGAGTGGGACGAGTCCTCTGTTGCCCATTTCAGCACCCAGGCCTGGTCAATGCTTCCTTCCTGCCTCCATCTGAGTGCATCCAGCAAGGAGGCCACCCTCGCGGCCCCAGCTGTCACACGGTGCCAGACATCGCCTTCTTCTCCCTTCTCCTCTTCTTTACTTCTTTCCTTTGTGCCACTGCCCTGAGGCATGTAAAGAACAGCCGCCTCTTCCCCTCGGTGGTAAGTGTCTTTTCCTTTCTGTGTGAAAGGTCTGGATTTGGCCCTGGATCCTGTCTGCAAACGGGAAAGGGTAAAACAGAAATGGGATGGCAGGCCCAGACTAAAGCGTCTGCTCTACGGCCAGGTGCGCAAAGTGTTCAGCGACTTTTCCTCAGTCCTGGCCATCCTGCTGGGCTGCAGCCTTGATGCCTTCCTGGGCCTAGCCACGCCGAAGCTCTTGGTGCCCACAGAATTCAAGGTGAGAGCTGGACAGGATGAGGGGGTAAGGAGGAAGTGGGGCTAGCAACTTGGAGTAATATGACTCATAGATTCCATACTTCTTTCCCTCTGAGCCTCTTCCATCACTCATGATAGAGACAGTAAAAACAATGGCCTCACAGAGTTGCTGAGTGATAAAACGAGGTATTTCAACAGACACATAAGTGAATGAGGAATGTTGTATACAGTAGCTATTATTATAGGGTAGGTGTTGGAAGACAGGCTCCAGGCTGCAGGCCTTGCTCTAGGCATCTCTATTTTAAAAGACAGAGTCTCACACAGTTCAGGTTAACCTCAAACTCCAAACACAGCTGAGGCTGGCCTCAAATTCGTTATCCTCCTGCTTTAACCCCCATGTGCTGTAGTTACGGACACACATCACCATACCTCCCCTGAGAATTTCTTAGTCTATAAAATCAGTAGTAGTTCTCCCACAGGTTGTTTTGGGGTTTACATATCACAGTGCAATAGTTACTACAGTGCCTGGTACATACCACATACTCAGTAAATGCTGCTATGACTTCTCCCTGCCACTGGCCCTACCTTCTTCCATACACCCTACTCTTTACACCCCTCCCTACCAACAGTAAAGCTGGAGCTCCTTCTGGAGGGTGACACCATCAGGCCAGAACAGCAAGGGGGCTCTACAGGGGTGGCTTTAGAGCTCAGACCCCAGCCAACCACGTGGGCCCCCTCCCCACCACAGACGCTTATAAATCAGAGCAGACATAGACACACCTAGTCCTGCCCAGACTGAGGCAGGTCTGAACCTGAGCTGCCCTATTCTGGGTGTGGGGCGTGGGGAGGGTGAGCCTAAAGAAGGCTGTGAATAAGTACATGGCAGAGTATGCAGGTTTTATTCACCAACTCTTTTGCGCAGGGAGGGGGGGTGGCTAGGGGGGAGAGAGAGAGAGAGCCCCTGAACCAAAGTCCAGAGCCTTCTTTCTGCTCTCTTTTAAGGCACTGGGATACACTGAAGGAGAGTTGTGTGTGTGCGTGTGTGTGTGTGTGTGTGCACATGCATCTGTCTGTCTGTGTGACAGTGCTTTCTCCTAGAATCTAAGGTCTGGGGGGCAGGATGTGGAATGTGGTAGACAGACATGGTAGTGATTGGGGTGTGCTGACGAGGTGTTCTTGGAGGCATTTCCACCTTGTCCATGGAATGTCCCCTCAGCCTACACTCCCTGGGCGTGGCTGGCTGGTGTCTCCTTTTGGAGCTAACCCCTGGTGGCTGAGTGTGGCCGCTGCCTTGCCTGCTCTGCTGCTGTCTATACTCGTCTTCATGGACCAGCAGATCACAGCCGTCATCCTCAACCGCGCAGAGTACAGACTGCAGGTAAGGCTGCCGGGCAAGGAGCTCCAGGGTGGGGTCAGACTCCACTTCTATCTTCAGACCCCCCCCTTCCCCGCAGAAGGGAGCCGGCTTCCACCTGGACCTCTTCTGTGTAGCGGCTCTGCTGCTGTTCACGTCAGTGCTTGGCCTACCCTGGTATGTCTCGGCCACCGTCATCTCCTTGGCCCACATGGACAGTCTTCGGAGAGAGAGCAAAGCCTGTGTCCCTGGAGAAGTCCCCAACTTCCTGGGCATCAGGTGAAGCCTGTAGTCAGTAGGCTGGGGAGAGGGGGTGTGGCAAAATGGTTATGGGATGTGTGAGTTATTTGGGCAGCTTGAATTCTCAGTTTGTGACCCCTAAGAACTGCAGTGGGTAAATGGGCGGCGGGTTCTGCACTCTGTGACAGGTGAGGGGCTTCAAGAAGGGCGTTATAAATGTATGGGTGAAGGTAGCCAGGGCTACAGTGGAGGGGGAGATACCACCTTTCAGTCCCCACTCAATGTAGAAGCACATCATGATGTTGCAAAGGAATTCATGATAAAAACAAATTTGTAACTGTTAGAAACATTCTACCAAATACATGAAGTTGACTAACCTTGTAGATTATGAAATATAGGTCTTTGTGGCAGTGAAAAATTGTTAATTTTCCATCTAAATAAAAACAGCAGCTAAGCATAGTGGTGCACACACCTTGAATCCCAGTACTCAGGAGGAAGAAGGAGGCAGATCTCTGTGAATTTGAGGCCAGCCTGGTCTACAGAGTGAGTTCCAGGACAGCCAGGGCTACAGCAAAAAAAAAAAATCAGTCAATCAATCAATCAAACAAACAAACAAGTAACCCCCCAAAAAAAACAAAACCCAAAAGCAAAAAAACTGAAGAATAGCTATGGAGCTGGGGATGGAACTCGGTGGTAGTTCTTTTTTCTTTTCTTTTCTTTTTTTTTTTTTTTTTTGGTTTTCCAAGACAGGGTTTCTCTGTGTAGCCCTAGCTGTCCTGGAACTCACTCTGTAGACCAGGCTGGCCTCGAACTCAGAAATCTGCCTGCCTCTGCCTCCCAAGTGCTGGGATTAAAAGCGTGCGCCACCACTGCCCGGCTTCGGTGGTTGTTCTTAAATAGTACATATGAGGTCCTAGTTTTGAATCCCAGAACCACTAAAACAATCAAATGAACAAGAAAACAAACCCAGTGGGCTAGTGAGGTGGCTCAGTGGGCAAAGCCACTTTCAGCCATGTCCAATGACTTGAGTTTCATCCCTGGGATCTGGGTGGTAAAAGAAAGAACTGATCCCTGCAAGGTGTCCTCTGACCATCACATATACACCAAGACAGGCACATGCTTACATACATGCTTGCACATTCACTGTATAAATAAGAAAGATGTAATACAATATTTAAAAAAAAAAAAGAAAAGAAACAGAACAACATTGAGCCTGGACTGATGGAGAGGCCAGGGGTCCAGGGTTGGAGTGCTCTGCCTTTCCTTTCAGTTTCTCAGGGCAGGCAGGGGTCCTTCGGCAGGTGACCTATCAAGGGTATCTCTCCTCTTCTCTGGTGCCACGTCTGTAATAGGCCTGGTAAGGTCTCTAGCCTGGGTGTTCCAGGAGCACACTCAGACCCAGCTAACTTCTCCTTCTCCCCACAGGGAACAGAGGCTGACGGGCTTGGTGGTGTTCATCCTTACAGGTGTCTCCATCTTCCTGGCACCTGTGCTCAAGGTACATGTTTGGCCAGGATCAGGGCCAGTCCAGCAGTTTCCATAGAACTGATGCTGGCTGAACACTTACAGTGTGCCAGGAACTGCATTTTCTTCTCACATGGTTACATTAATCTTTGTGCTGACTAACCCTGAGAGACACACATAATCTACAAATGAGAAACCTGAAGGTTAAGGACATAATTTGTAAGTGCCCACCAAGAGAGCCATTTCTCAGATAAAAAAAAAAAAAACAAGACAAAACAAAGCAACAACAATAATGAAAAACCTAGACTTCCAGAGCATACTGGTTTATGCCTGTAATCCTAGAACCAGGAGGTTGAGGCAGGAGGCTTGTTTCAAGTTTGAGACCTGCTTGCGTACACAGTAAGTTGCAGGACAGCTTGGGCTATAGTGGGAAACCCTACATCAAAAGAAACTAAAAAGCCAGGGGAGTCTGAGATGGCTCAGCAGATAAAGGGTTTTGCTAATAAGCCTGAAGTTTGATACTAGGTCTGGGTCTGTGTGATGGAGAGAAAGAACTGATTCCAACAAGCTATCCACTGACCTACATGCTATACGCACACACACACACACACACACACACAC